GACATGAAGGAACCAATGGGATCTATGGAGGGTGACCACAGGCTGCCTGCTGATCAGATCACTGCCAGGGTTATTATAGAAATGCACTTAAGCCCATGGACATAAGACAGTGGCCTGCTCATGTCTTCAACCTATTCTTTATTTTGATACGGACTTTTGCTCTTGTCCAGGCTGGAGTGCAATGGCATGATCTTGGCTCACTGCAACCTCTGCCTCCCAGGTTCAAGTGATTCTCCTGTCTCAGCCTCCTGAGTAGCTGGGATTACAGACACTTGCCACCACACCCATCTGATTTTTGTATTTTTAGTAGAGATGAGGTTTCACTATGTTGGCCAGGCTGGTCTCGAACTCCTGACCTCCTCAGGTGATCCGCCCGCCTTGGCATCCCAAAGTGCTGAGATTACAGGCATGAGCCACCATGCCTGGCCTAACCTATGCTTTTTATTTATAAAATTGTGGCTTAAAACCCCCCACATAACATAAAATTTACCATCTTGCCTTTTTTTTTTTTTTTTTTTTTTTGAGAAGGGGTCTTACTCTGTCACTCAGGCTGGAAAGCAGTGGAACGACCTCAGCTCATTGTGACCTCTGCCTTCCAGACTCAAGCAATCTTCTCACCTCAGCCTCCTGAGTAGCTGTACCACCACGCCCAGCTAATTTTTTTTTTAATCTTTTTGGTAGAGTCAGGGTTTTGCCAAGTTGGCAAGGCTGGTCTCAAACACCTGGACTAAAGCAATCCACCTGCCTTGACCTCCCAAAGTGCTGGGATTATAGGCATGAGACACTACAGCCAGCTGTTTTACCATTTTTATGTGTACAGTTCAGTTGTGTTAAATATATTCACATTGTTGTGAAGCATCACTCCAGAAGACTTTCATCTTGTGATACAGAAATCTATACCCATTAAACAATAACTACTCTCACCTCCTCCCTCCAGCCCCTGCTAACTACCAGTGTACTTTCTGTTTCTATGAATTTGATGACTTTAGATACTTCATATAAGTGGAATCATGCAGCATATGTATTTTTGTGACTGGTTTATTTCCTAGTGTCATGTACTCAAGGTTCATCTATGTGTCACATGTATCAGAATTTCATTCCTCTTTAAGGGTGAATGATATTCCATCATATGGATAGACCGCATTGTCTTTATCGTTCCTCTGTCAATGGATAGAGTTGTCAGTGTCAAGTTGTTCCCATCTCTTGGCTATCATGAATAATGCTGCAATAAACATGGACCCTTGCTTTCTATTCTTTTGGAAATATTCCCTGAAGAGAAATTGCTGGAGCATATGTTAGTTTTATTTTTAATTTTTTAAGGAGCTACCATACCATTTTCCATAGCAGTTGAATACAATCATATGTTCCCTCCAACAGAGCACAAGGCTTCTAATTTCTTCACATTCTCACCAACACTTGTTATTTTCTGTTTTCTTGGGAGTATCTATTCTAAAGGGCGTGCCTGTGTTTCTGGACTGGCTTAGAGCAATTTTTTTTTGAGGTGGAGTCTTGCTCTGTCGTCCAAGCTGGGGTGCAGTGGTGCAATCTTGGCTTACTGCATCCTCTGCCACCCGGGTTCAAGTGATTCTCCTGCCTCAGCCTCCTGAGTAGCTGGGACTGCAGGCACATGCCAACATGCCTGGATAATTTTTGTACTTTTAGTAGAGATAGGGTTTCACCATATTGGCCAGGCTGGTTTCAAACTCCTGACCTCGTGATCCGCCCACCTTGGCCTCCCAAAGTGCTGGGATTACAGGCATGAGCCACTGAGCTAGACCTTAGAGCAATTATTAATTATTTATTAGAACTGAGCAATGGGGAAAGTATCACCCCATACTATGGGCAGATAACCTAATAACCTAGAGCCACAAAAAGCAATCATAACTTTGCCAATGACTTCATGACTGTGGGCAAATTGTGCACTCTCTTGAGTTCTCATCTGCTCACTCAAGGGCAAAGCCTTCTCAATGATACAACCTTCCCCCTCCTTTGCCCTGATGTTTCCACCAGGAAAAGGTGGGAAGTGAGAGATGGAAAATGACTTGTGAGATTGGGGTCTTAATTTTAGCAGCTATCACTCAGCTATGATATTTTTCTTTATAAGAATAACTCGTGCTTACTTTTGAACATTTAGAAAGCTCACAAAAGCATTAGAAGCAAAGAAGTATGTATCTACCATTCCATCACCCACAGGCAAGCACTGATAACATTTTGCCCTGTTTCTTGTAGTGTTTTTCTAAGTGAGGCAAACTTCTTTAATCTTCAAGTCCCTCTTTTTCTAAAGAGGAGCTACTTCTTTTCACAGCAATCTGTAGCAAAGTTAACTGAGCTCTCAATTTCTTAAATATATCTTTCTTTGTGCTAGTTCATTTCTTAGATGTGTCACTTTGAGTGAAAAGCAATTAATTACAGTGGAAACGCTGCTAGGAGACGTCTTAAGAAATTCTGTTAATATATATAGGGAGAGAAAGGAAGGGGAAAGGGAGCTGCTGGGCAGACCCAGTCTATTTAAATGGGTAATTTCCTTTCCTTTCAAGTTTCAGGGTTGCCGATCTATATATTTGTGAAAGGACTAGAAAGCTGTTAGTATAACTCCAATTTGTCAAACTTGGTAAAACCCAACTGAAAGGCAAAGTTGATAGAATGACTTGGGTAAATTTCATTTTCAATGTTTTTTTTTTTTTTTCCAAGGAACATTGCTATATCAGTTCAGAAAAAAAATTGAAATGATAATCCTAAGACTAAGAAAGGTGGCATATGGGACAGCACTAGGTTTCGAAGGCTTGCTCTTGGTAATTTCCAGCCTCAGGAAGTCATGCTTGGGGATTTTTGTTTGTTTGCTTGTTTGTTTTTTGAGACAGAGTCTCACCGTATCACCCAGGCTGGAGTACAGTGGTGCAATCTAGGCTCACTGCAACCTCCACCTCCTGAGTTCAAGTGATCCTCCTGCATCAGCCTCCGAAGAGGCTGGATTACAGGTGCATACTACCACACCCACCCAGCTAATTTTTGTATTTTTAGTAAAGACAGGGTTTTACCATGTTGTCCAGGCTGGTCTTGAACTCCTGACCTCAGGCGATCTGCCTGCCTTGGCCTCCCAAAGTGCTGAGATTACAGGTATGAGCCACTGTGCCCAGCTGCTTGGAGATTTTAGGGGCTGCAGGAGTCCGAGAAGTTTTTGTCTTGAAAACTCGGGCCTGGCTGGGACAACTGAGGGTGGCCTGGCCTGGCTCCCAGACTGGAGAATCCTACACAAAAGGCATTCAGCACAGCTCCCGGCAAAGGAGAACTGCTCAGTAACTGTTGGATATAATTGTGATGTTCTGGGGAGTTGTAGGGAGAGGGACTCTGGGCCATCTCTTGGCAGTGTGATGGGGAGTGGGGGGAGGAGTCACATATGGAAAGTGGAGAATGGTGGGGAGTGGATTGGTCCCTTTATCTACTCCTTTTTTTTTTTTAGACAGAGTCTCGCTCTATTGCCCAGGCTGGGGTGCAATGGTGTGATCTTGGCTCATTGCAACCTCTGCTTCCTGGGTTCAAGCAATTCTTCTGCCTCAGCCTCCTGAGTAGCTGGGATTACAGGCATGTACCAGCACACCCAGCTAATTTTTGTATTTTTGGTAGAGATGGAGTTTTACCGTATTTGCCAGGCTGGTCTTGAACTCCTGACCCCTAGTGATCCACCCACCTCGGCCTCCCACAGTGCTGGGATTACAGGTGTGAGCCAGCGTGTCCAGCCCCTCTATCTACTTTCTAATTCTCCCCTAATCTGAGCTTCCAGGGCCCTGGTTGGGAAAGGAGAGTGTGTGTGTGTGCGCGTGTGTGTGTGTGTGTGTGTGTGTGTGTATATGTGTGTGTGTGTCAGGGCATATAAATCGGTTAAGATTCAGGGAGGAGTAAGAGTCAACTCACATTTATTAAGCCGTTTCTATACTGTATGTTTACCAGACACTATACTAAGCATGTGACATGGTTTGGATGTGTGTCTCCTCCAAATCTCATGTTAAAATGTGAACCCCAGTGTTAGAACTGGGGCCTAGTGGGGGGTGTTTGGGTCCTGGGGGTGGATCCCTCAAGAATGGCTTGGTGCTGTCCTCTTGAGAATGCGTAGATGCTTGCTCTATTCATTCATGTGAGATCTGGTTGTTTAAAATAGCATGGTGCTCTCCCTCTGTTGCTTTTGCTCTCTCCATGTGACTGGTCTGCTCCTCCATCACCTTCCTCCATGACTGTAAGCTTCCTGAGGCCTCCCCAGAAGCTGAGCAGATGCTGGTGCCATGCTCATATAGCCTGCAGAACCATGAGGCAAATAAATCTCTTTTCTTTACAAATTACCCAGCCTGAGGCATTCCTTTATAGCACTGCAAAGGAAAAATGTAGCATGTAAGAAATAAACCAAGGAAATAACACAGTGTATAAGAAAAAAAACCAATTCACAAAAGAGGTTAGGAGGTAACTGAACTAAGTATTTGGACCAGGCTCGTCTGCTTGACCCTGAAGCCTGGGCAGAAACATCTCCTCCATTTCTTGTAGACCTATAGAAAGATTTCCTCCACCACGTTCCTTAAGAGTTCAAGCCTAACCTGTCCTCAGGTAATGTCTGAAGAGGCAGAACTTTCCTAATCCATGAAAACTCAGAGGTTTTCCCTTTTGGGGTGTAACAGGGCTTCCTGCCGGTGGCAAGGAACTACTTTATCACTGGCCACCACTTGTTCTTCGAGAAGGACAGCCCAAAGTAGCTGGCATAGGCTTTCCAGAAACTCTCCCAGGCCACATGGAAAGCCAGGAGACCCTGTAGTCCCTGCCCAGTGTGACTCAAGCCCTGGGTAGAAGGAAAGCAAGCTCCAACCTGCAGGCCAAGCCTGGCATGCAGTGGGGCTGTGGGCAGACTGCCATCCCTGGCACCAGTGGTGCCAAATTTCTTGCCAAATAGGCTTGAGTTTCAACATGTTGGGAGAGTGCAGGAGCCTGTGAGCATAACTTTGCTGTCAACCCTGAAGCAGGGCCGAAGAAGATCCGAGAGAGTCCAGCAGCACAGCAGATGCAAGGGACAGGCATGGATGTTGAGCTCCTGGGGACTCAGCCCTCTATGGGGAAAGCAGAGCACCATCTAACACCAGAGGACTAAAGTGCAGCCAGAGCATCGCCCGAGCCATCCCAGGGGATGGAGGTGAGTTTTTGTTTTACCTGTGAGATCTTAGAACTTAGGTTAGGTAGGTTTGTAGAAGAGGTGTACTCTACAATGAGCACCTTCATTGTACTGATGAGGAAATGGAGGCCCAGAAAGAAAAGGAGACTTTCCTGAGGTCACATATAGGAGCTGGTGGTGAGGCTAGCCTGGAACCTAATGCAGTGCTATTTCCATTTCCCATTTTACTTGGTCCTCCCAAATGACTATACAATTATAAAGGGCTTATTATTTTAAGGGATTAGTCTCCTGAGGGAAACCTTTTGTTTTCCATCAACTTGGTGAAGTCTTGAGGGTTCCTCACTAACCAGGGGACTATAGTATCTTTTTGATCCTAAGAATAAGAATTAGGTCAGATTTTTCTCTTCCTGGCCAAACCCCTTCCTACTTATTTGAAATCCCTTGAAACTCCAGTGAATAGCGAATGAGAGGCCAACTGAACAAGCCAACCCATTGCCCACTATCTCCATCAACAGAACATTCTCCACTTGAAATTTTGTTGTATATACCTCAATACGTTGCCTATATCTGTAATCTGTATCATTTGTCACTATCTCTTTTATATACATTGTATTTTTCCATGACATTACATTTTCTCTGATATGTGTGACACTTTTCCATTGTACGATTATATCAAAGTTTGTTTAATTAATAATTTTGAGTTAAATTCATAGGTTTTTTTCTTATTTTTTGTTGATTGCATTAGCTAGGCCCTTCGAGACAACATTAGACACTGAAGTGATGAGTATCCTCCATTCTCCTCTTCTGATTTTCTAAGATATGTGCTTAGATTTTTCTTCTAAATGGGTGTTGATATAATTACATATCCCTTATCTTCAGGATTTTTATTAAATTCCTTTTGGGTTTTTATCAAGATGATCATATTTTTCTTAGTCTTTTAAAACAATAAATTATAATAACAGATTTTCTAATATTGAATCAGACTTGTAATCATCATGATGTATATTTTTACTATATTGCATATACTTAATATATGCAATATTTAATGAATTATATATGCATATATAATTTATTGATTTGATTTGCAGTATTTGACTTGTTATTTTTGCAAATATATTTATGTGATATTAATATTCAGCTTTTAATGTGCTTGATATATCTTTGTGAATAAAAAACCATAAGGTTTGATGCTGGGAAACGGTCTTGACATGTGTGTGATGGAGTGTATGTTGTTTGCTGAGAGGCGATGGCAAGGAACACTGAGCCATCCCCAGGGAGGAATCTGCTAGAATAGTAGGCAATATGTGCTGGTTATGCACAAGTTAAACCAGCTCCCAAAACACAGGATATTTGACCTTGTCCCCATTGCTGACTCAAAGAGTGCTTTCTAGCTTATTTCTATTTTAGTAGTGAACAGGCATTATCTGCCCGTTTAGTCTATCTTTATTCTATGAAGAAACACTGAGCACCTTCTTATTAAAAATAATCAATTGTTCACTAAGAATAAATATGTGGGTCAGAGTCTGCTCTGGGCTTTCATCTGGGAAATGCTGTCAGTCCCCTGATGGTCCCACTCTGATCCTCCTTTTGCACTCTATCTTAATTCCTTCAGTGCTTGCCTGGGTTGGGGTCTCTATGACCGAACTGGTCTTGACAGTTTGATGTGAATGACATGCTAGATTTGTAAAATGAATTAAGGAGCATTTCAACTTTTATGCCGTGGAACCACCTAAATAGCACAGGAGTTATCTATTACATGAGGCTTAATATAATTCACCTGTAAAACTATATGGACCTGGTGCCTATTTCAGGACTTATTTTAAAAATAACTTTTCTAGACCTTTCTATTTTTGTCTATCTTTTCTATATCTCCTTCAGAATGATTTGGCAATTTATATTTTTTAGAGGATTATTTATTTTAATTCAAATTTTAGCATTTCCTTAGAATCTCTGATCATATCACCTTTCTCATTTCCATCACTGTTTGTATTTCTCCCTATTTTTCTTGGTTAGAGATAATTGTTACTTTCCTCTATTGCTGGTCTTTTCAAGGAATTTGCTCTTGGAGGTATTTACTAATTCTACTTTCTATGTATGCACGTGTTTGTGTGGGTATTTAATTCCTTAATATCGAGGGACTTCTGCCAAGATGGCCAAATAGGAACAGCTCTGGAGCGCAGTTCCCCATGGGAGCAACACGGAAGGCAAGTGATCTCTGCATTTCCAACTGAGGTACCAGGTTCATCTCAATGGGACAGGTTGGACAGTGGGTGTAGCCCAAGGAGGGCAAACCGAGGCAGGGTGGGACGGTGCCTCACCCAGGAAGTGCAACGGGCCAGAGGGTACTCCCTCCTATCCAGCGGAGGCCATCGGGGATGTCTGGCCGCTCCAGAGCTCTGGTTCTGATGCTGTGCTTCTCCTGCAGTCTTTGCAGCCCACAGACCAGGAGATATTTACAATATTTTCCCCGCATGCTGACAGGTGCTGCAGGTTTCCAGGGAAATCTGGGCAGCGGATTCAGCTGTGCTGTGAGTTCCCAGCACAGATCCGAGCAGCTGTTTTGACTGGCACCAGGAATGCCTGCGAGACAGAGTTGCCCATACACCTGAAAGGAAGGGGGCTGAAGGTGGGGAGCCAGGTGACCTGGCTCCGTGGGTCCCACCCCCACAGAGACCAGCAAACAATCCCACTGGCTTGGGATTTTCGCAACCAGCACAGCAGTTTGAACTCAACCCTGGACAGTCGAGCTCTGCGGGGGGAGGGGCGTCTGCCATTACTGAGGCAGCTCTAATTTTGCTTGTGTAAACAAAAGCACAAAGAAGTATACACAGCAGCTGCAGGGAGCCCACAGCAGCTCAACAACACCTCTGCAGGCAGACTGCGACTAGACTCCCTCCTTGCTGGACAGAGCCTCTCTGAAAAAAGGCAGCAGCCTGTCAGGGACTTATAAATAAAGCCACACCTTCCCAGGACAGAGCACCTGGGAAAAGGAGTGGTTGTAAGTTCTGCTACAGCAGACTTAAACGTTCCTGCCCAGCAGCTCTGAAGGGAGCACTCAAGCTCTGACAAGGGTCAGACTGGCTCCTCAAGCAGTTCCCTAACCCCTGTATATCCAAAGAGTCACCTCATGCAGGAGAGGTCTGGCTGACATCTGGCAGATACCCTTCTGTGATGAAGCTACCAGAGGAAGGAACAGGCAGCAATCCTTGCTATTCTGACCCCCCCACGGGCGATTCTCAGGCAAGCAGAGCCTGGAGTGGACTTCCAGCAGTCCTGCAGCAGAGGGGCCTGACTGTTAGAAGGAAAACTAAAAAACAGAAAGAAATAACCTCAACATCAACAAGAAGGATGCCCACTCAGATACCCCATCTGAAAGTCACCAACTTCAAAGACCAGAGGTAGAGAAATCCATGAAGGTGGGAAGAAACCAGTGCAAAAAGGATGAAAACACCAAAACCCAGAATACCTCTCCTCCTCCAAGGGATCACAATTCCTCACCAGCAAGGGAGCAAAACTGGATGGAGGTTGAGTTTGACGAATTGACAGAAGCAGGCTTTAGAAGGTGGGTAATCACAAACTTCTCTGAGCTAAAGGAACATGTTCTAACCCAATGCAAAGAAACTAAGAACCTTGAAAAAAGGTTAGATGAAATGCTAACTAGAATAACCAGCTTAGAGAAGAACGTAAACGACTTGATGGAGCTGAAAAACACAGCACGAGAACTTTGCAAAGCATACGCAAGTTTTAATAGAGGAATTGATCAAGCAGAAGAAAGGATATCAGAGATTGAAGATCAACTCAATGAAATAATTCCTTAATATTTACCTTTACCATCTGCTAATTGGATTGATTGAATTAATTTCCCAACTATCTTTCTGAGTTGAATGTTCAGTTTTTAAAAATGTTTTTCTTTTTCTTATTTAAAAGCAGAAAGTATTTAAACCTAATAATTGTTCTTAGAGGGTGGCTTTATCTATACTCCAAAGTTACTTGAGCATTGCATTTGTACATACATAACAACATGGTTGGATATAGATTTTTAGTTTACAATATTTTCCCTTCAAACTCTTGATGTTACCTCATTTTCTTCCTGACTTCATTTTTTCAGAGAACTCTGGCAATCTGATTTTTTTCATTTAAACATAACTCATTTTTATCCTGCTCTGATTAGCCTATAGACATATTCTTCTATTTATGTGTAACACATAGCTGAAGCTTAATAAATCTACAGTGACAGACTAACTGAAAAAATTTCAGTAGATTATATCAAAAAGTACATGTCATTTATTTAATTTTTGTCGTATTCTTTAAGCCCTTTTTATCTGGAAGCTTCAGTGTTTATTTGGTTCAGGGACATTTTCTTCTACTTTTTCTTTGATGATCAGTTCTTCATTTGCTCTGTTCTTTCTCTTAGGTATTCCTACTAATATCTGGATTCATCATTTGAGTCACTTTGATGTTCTCTATTCTCCTTTGAGCTAGTGGAGGATGCCTTATGTTTGTCTTTCCAATTCATAAAGACACAGACTTGATGGAGATTTAAAATTCAACAATTGTGCATTCCATTCTAAAGCATTTTTTCCTAATCTAGTGGCTTATCTTTTCTTACATGCAACTGACATTTCTCTGTTCTGTTATCACTCAGGCTTTCTGAAGAATGTGACATGAACAACTACTTCCTGTCTTCCTGAAATTCTTTTTTCTCTTGTATACTCTGACATCACACTTCTCAAGTTTCCTCCTACCCCACAACCAGTCCATTTCAGCCTTTTATCTTGGCCCCTCCTTTGCTCAGCTTTGAAGTATTGAAACACTTCAATACTTGGGCCTGGGCCTTTTTCTCTTTTCTCTATCTGTACAATCTGTACAGAGCCATAGCCTTAAGTACCATCTCTTTGCTGAACAGTACTAAATTTGTGTCTCTGGCCCATACTTTCCCCTGAACTCAGATTTGTGTCTCCACGTTTATAGCTCCACTTGGAAATCTAAAAGGCATCTCAAACTTAGCAAACATAAAGAAA